TATTATTATTATTATTATTATTATTATTATTATTATTATTATTATTATTATTATTATTATTATTATTATTATTATTATTATTATTATTATTATTATTATTATTATTATTATTATTATTATTATTATTATTATTATTATTATTATTATTATTATTATTATTATTATTATTATTATTATTATTATTATTATTATTATTATATTATTATTATTATTATTATTATTATTATTATTATTATTATTATTATTATTATTATTATTATTATTATTATTATTATTATTATTATTATTATTATATTATTATTATTATTATTATTATTATTATTATTATTATTATTATTATTATTATTATTATTATTATTATTATATTATTATTATTATTATTATTATTTATTATTATTATTATTATTATTATTATTATTATTATTATATTATTATTATTATTATTATTATTATTATTATTATTATTATTATTATTATTATTATTATTATTATATTATTATTATTATTATTATATTATATTATTATTATTATTATTATTATTATTATTATTATTATTATTATTATTATTATTATTATTATTATTATTATTATTATTATTATTATTATTATTATTATTATTATTATTATTATATTATTATTATTATTATTATTATTATTATTATTATTATTATTATTATTATTATTTGTTATTATTATTATTATTGTTATTATTATTTTATTATTATTATTATTATTATTATTATTATTATTATTATTATTATTATTATTATTATTATTATTATTATTATTATTATTATATTATTATTATTATTATTATTATTATTATATTATTATTATTATTATTATTATTATTATTATTATTATTATTATTATTATTATTATTATTATTATTATTATATTATTATTATTATTATTAGTATTATTATTATTATTATTATTATTATTATTATTAGTATTATTATTATTATTATTATTATTATTATTATTATTATTATTATTATTATTATTATTATTATTATTATTATTATTTTATTATTATTATTATTATTATTATTATTATATTATTATTATTATTATTAGATATTATTATTATTATTATTATTATTATTATTATTATTATTATTATTATTATTATTATTATTATATATTATATTATTATTATTATTATTATTATATTATATATTATTATTATTATTATTATTATTATTATTATTATTATTAATTATTATTATTATTATTATTATTATTATTATTATTATTATTATTATTATTATTATTATTATTATTATTATTATTATTATTATTATTATTATTATTATTATTATTATTATTATTATTATTATTATTATTATTATTATTATTATTATTATTATTATTATTATTATTATTATTAGAAATTCACAGAAAATGTCAATTATGTCTTTCAATTTTAGACAGTGTTTGAAAATAAACACAGTTTTCCCCAACTTTGGTCGGATTTTTTTTAACAACATTTGGTCGGTTTTTTTTTAAATAGAGTTTAATTTTTAATGATTTTTATTGACCAGTTCTTATGTGATTTTAAAATAAAACAAAAACATTTTTGCCCATTACAATATTTGGTCGGATTTTTCTAAAATGTTAGATGGTATTTCAATCATTCAATTTTTAATAAAATTAAATGTTAAACTTAATTTTGAAAAAAAAATATATTGGTAATTTTTTAAACAAGATTTGGTCGAATTTTTTTTTAACAAAAACTGTGAAATTTTAAAATTTTTTAAATGATTTGATTGATTATTTCGTGTGTATATCAAAGCCATTTTTTTTATTATTGCCAATACATTTCTCAATTTGGTAAAATTTTCCAACCAAAAAAATTGGCCAAATTTTTTATGGATTGATTTGAAATTTTTACCCAATTCTACCAAAATTTGTATTATCTTATTATTATTAATTTTATTCCGTAAAATGTTCAAGAATAATAAAGAAATTTTTTAAAAGATTTTGATCGCATAGTTGTTTTGTGTCCTAAAACAAAACAACAAATTTATTTGATTTTTACTACATCTCAAAATTTGGTCGGGGTTTTGATTCAAAGGATTTGGACAGGAATTCATTTTTTTTAATTTTGATCGAATTTTTTATTCAAAAAATTTTTGGATATTTTATCGCTATAAATGCTCCATTTTTTAATTTCTTTCCACCGAAAAATTCTGCTGTCCTACAATTTTTGGAAATCTTTTTTTAATTCAAAATTTGGTCGGATTTGTATATTTTAGGTTTCAGATGTTCTGGTCCTTTATTTTAAAATAAGAAATTTAGAGGAAAAGTTTTTATGGATTTTAAAATGTTGCCAAATTTTATTAATAATAAAAAATTTGGTAGGGTTGCGTTTTAGTATTTCAAAAATGTGTCCGGATTGCAAAAAATATTTTAAAATATACTATGGATATTTTATTAAAAAAACAGCAACAAGAAACTTACAGATGATTGTTCCTAAAGTTTGAGCATCGTAATTTTGTAAAATTATTATTTTGGTCGAAAAAGAAATTGACTCAAGTTTTGGTCGGAATTTTTTTCCTCACAATTATAATATATTTGTAAAGAGTTTGTACAAATTTTTCAAATTGTTGGTCGGAAATGAGCAACATTTGGTCGGAATTTAGTATTTCCAAAATTCAAATAATTTTTTTAATGAATTTGATCCAAAATTTCTAAATTGTAGCCCAAATTTGGGAAAATTTTCGGAATATTTTTAAAAACTTAAAAGTTTGGTAGGATTTTTATTATTTTCATCGAAAATAAACATAATTCGAACTCTGGTCAGAATTTTTATTCGCAAAATTAAGAAATTTGTTCAAAATTTCTAAATTTTTGTTTAAAAATGAGCACACATATTTCAAAATTTGGTCGAGATTATTATTCTTGAAATTAATTTTTTTTTTTAAATGAATTTAATGAAAAATTTCCTAATATGACAAAACATTTGTGTCGTACATTCCATTGTAGCTAAAATTTATAAAAATTTTGGGAATATTTTTAAAAACTTAAAAACTTTGTAGGATTTTTTTGACTCACATTTTGGTCAGAATTTCTATTCGCAAAAATACAATATATTTGCAAGGAATTTGTTCAAAATTTCCAAATTTTAGGTGGAAAATAAGCACACAAATTTAAAAATTTGGTCGGATTTCCCCCCAAAATTTGGTTGGATTTTTTCCAATAATTTAAAGAATGGTTTAATAAATTTGTTAAAAAATTTCTATTGTAGCTAACATTTGGGACATTTCTCCAATTATTTAAAAAAATCAGAAATTTGGTCGGATTTTCGTTAAAACAATTAATATTTTTTAATAAAATTTCTAAATTTTTGGTCTAAAATGAGCACACACATTGCAAAATTTGGTCGGATTTTTTTCCCCATAATTTAAAGAATTTTTTAATGAAATTTGTTAAAAAAATTTCTATTGTAGCTAAAATTTGGGAATTTTCTCCAATTATTTTTAAAAATTCAGAAATTTGGTCGGATTTTTATTAAAACAATTAATTTTTTTTATGTATATTAAAAAAAATTGACGAAAATTTCGAAATTGCCAAGAATAAGGATCGATTGTCTAATAGCTCCAATTTAAAAGGATTTTTCTATTATTTTTTATGAATTTCAAAATTTGCTCGAATTTAAAAAAAAATTGAAAAATTTTTTTAAATATTTTTTGTGACATGAAACGATTGTTTAAAAGCTCGAATTTAGGAGGGTTTTTGTATTATTTTCGTAAAATTTGATCGAATTTAAAAAAAAAAATTGAAAATTTTGTTAATATTTTTTGTGAAAAAAAATATTATTTTTTTAAATATTTTATTTTGTTTTTTTATTTTTTTTTTTTTTTAATTAGAATTTTCCGAATGTCTTTGAAAAATTATTTCAAATTTAATCCAGATTCATGACAGTATTTGAAAAAAATATTTTTAAAAGATCCACCTTTAAGGCAGTCCTTAAAAAAATATTTTTTCAAAAAACCCTCGTTTTTGGTAGCCCTCTTAAAACTGTTTTGAAAATTCCGTTATGGTTACTCTTCATGCCATTGGTGTTTTCATTGTCATAAAACACACCGAAAGAGTCTCTTTCTCTCTCTCTCTCTCTCCGTTCTCTCTCAGTTGTAATGTAGTGGTATTTACCGCAATTTTTTGTTTTGTTTTGTTTTTCGTCGTAAAAGAGAGCTTCGTGTTGTGTGCGTTTTCCTTGCGGTTTGGCGCCTATCCATCATTCGGTCTCTATACCCCCCCCCCCCCCCCCCAATTCCAAGCATGCTCAACTAAATGCATTGTTGCATATTTTTCGGCGCTTGTTGATGGTGGCATTGGTTGTTGATGGTTGTTTGTTTTACATCTTTTGGCAAAATGCCAAATGCAAACAAAAGCCTCCCGTGGAGTGGAGAATGACTGCTTCTCAACTGGCTGTTATACATTTCTCATTATCAAGATATTTCTTTTTTTGTTTTTGGGGTTTTTGTTTTTCTCAATATTCGCTTTTATTTTTGAGTTTTTTTATCTCCATGTTCCCAATGGTGATGATGATGATGAGAATCCTCATTATCATCATCATCATTGGCTTTGTCACTGTCATAAATATTATTGCTGTTGGCAGTTTAGCGTTTAAACGTCGTCATTGTCGTTGTAATACTCATCATCATCATCATAATCATCATCTTCTTCGTTATCGTTGTTTTTGTTGTTGCTGCCAGTTACTTTGCCCATTGCCTTTGCATCCTTATTTTGTTAGCAATTCACGACTCTGGCATTCAGTTCATCTCGGCGTGTTGAACATAACGGTTGGACATTTTGTAAAATGTACGGAAACGGTTATTGAAATTAAATTAAAAAAAAATTGAAAATTGATTTTTTCAACTTGGTTCTTCTTTAAGTTTTGAGAAAAATTTAAAAATTAAAATTTGAAAATATTGTGAAAAAAAAAATTAATTTTTATAAAAAATCAAGATATTTGAAAGTGATGTGTTAAATAAATTTGTATTATTATTTTTTTTTAAAAGAAAAAATATTGAAAATGTGTTTTTTAACTAACTGCAAATTGTTTTAGACAAAACGGAATTGGAAAAACATATTTTGTAACTAAGGTAAGAAAAATTGTTAAGAAAAAGCAGAATCAATTTTTAAATAATATTAAGACAATCAACATTTTTTACAAGGAGCTGATGCATTTCGAAATGACAGATGCAGGAGAGGCAGAATTTTAGATTTATGGAAGATAAAAAATTTCTTTGTCTACTTTCCTATCTGCCAATTTGATATATAAAAACAATATATATTTGAAAAATAATTTGGCTGTGGGAAAATTTTTCTGAAATAAAAAGAGATTTGAAATAAGAATTTAAAATTATACAAAGATGAGTTCTACAATTTTTTTTTAATTTTTTAATACAAAAAAATCAATTCCAGCCGTAAAATATATTTTTATTTAATCATTGTATTTTTTATTTTTTTTTTTCCAAAAATCTATTAGCATTTATTTATCTTCAAAGTATTAAAATAAAATCCTCAATCACTAAAAAAATATTTTCTGTTAAATAAAAAAAAATTGAAATATTTTTTTTTATTTATATATTTTTTTTATAGCTCTCTAAAGAATAAAGTTTTTAAAAATATTAAAAAGAAACCCATAAAAATAAAGATATTTAGAAAAAAAATAATTTTAAAAAAATCTACAACGTTAATTATATTTTAAATATATTGTATATCATTTTCAAAAATCCAGTAGTGAAAATTTATCTTCGAAATATGTAAAGAAAATCCAACAATTTTCCAAAGAAATTTTTTTTTTAAAAAATCCATAATGATAACGATTTAAAAAAAAATAATTTCATAAAAAATCTACAACGGTAAATATAAAAATCCATTAGCATATATCTTCAAAATTTTAAAATAAAATCCTCAATCACTTAAAAAATATTTTCTTTTAAATAAGAACAATTGAAATATTTTTTTTATTTATATATTTTTTTAATAGCTCTCTAAAGAATAAAGTTTTTAAAAATATTGAAAAGAAACCCATAAAAATAATGATATTTAAAAAAAAAATTATTTTTAAAAAATCTACAACGTTAATTATATTTTAAATATATTGTATATCATTTTAAAAAATCCACTAGTGAAAATTTATCTTCAAAATATTAAAAGAAAATCCAACAATTTTCCAAAGAAAAAATTTAAAAAAAAAAATCCACAATGATAACGATTTAAAAAAAAAAATAATTTCATAAAAAATCTACAACGGTAAATATAAAAATCCATTAGCATATATCTTCAAAATGTTAAAATAAAATCCTCAATCACTTAAAAAATATTTTCTTTTAAATAAAAAAAAAAATTGAACTATTTTTTTTATTTATATATTTTTTTAATAGTTCTCTAAAGAATAAAAATTTTAAAAATATTAAAAAGAAACCCACAAAAATAAAGATATTTAGAAAAAAAAAATTAAAAAAAATCTACAACGTTAATTATATTTTAAATATATTGTATATCATTTTCAAAAATCCACTAGTGAAAATTTATCTTCAAAATATTAAAAGAAAATCCAACAATTTTCCAAAGAAAAAAATTTAAAAAAAAAATCCACAATGATAACGAATTTTTAAGAAAAAAATAATTTCTTAAAAAATCTACAACGGTAAATATAAAAATCCATTAGCATATATCTTCAAAATATTAAAATAAAATCCTCAATCACTTAAAAAATATTTTCTTTTAAATAAAAAAAATTTAACTAGTTTTTTTTTATTTATATATTTTTTTAATAGTTCTCTAAAGAATAAATTTTTTAAAAATATTAAAAAGAAACCCATAAAAATAATAATAATTAAAAAAAATAGTTTTAAAAAATTAATTATATATTAAATATATTGTATATCATTTTCTAAAATCCAATAGCGAATATTTATTTTCAAAATATTAAAAGAAAATCCAACAATTTTCCAAAGAAAAAATGTTTAAAAAAAAATCCACAATGATAACGATTAAAAAAAAAAAAATAATTTCATAAAAAATCTACAACGGTAAATAACCATAAAAAATTATATTTTAAATATATTGTATATGATTTTCATAAAATCCACTAGGGTATAGTTGTCTTAAAAATATTAAAAGAGTAAAAAAAAGAAAAATCGATTTATTATTTTTTTATACTTTTTAGTTTTTAAAAATTCTCCATAGAAGAATTTTTTTTAAAAAAAAAATAAAAAAATCAAATACATTTAAAAAACATGTTTTTTAAAAAAATCAGCAACGTAAATAACCATTAAAAATTATAGAACATTGTATTTTGCTGTTGCAAAATGGTCAGGCTTAATCCCTTTATTGTTGTTTTTATAAAAACAACGATTGTTTATTAGTGGAGAATGATGGTAATGTTTACCAGAGCGTAAGGCAGGGAATACCTAGGTTTCGGAAAAAGCCACTAATCCTCATCAGTCCACTTGTTTTTTTTTTTTTTTTTTGTCTGGGATATTCTCCCCTGGAGGAATTTCAAAAAATAACTCCAATGACAAAAACAAATTTTCCCCAAGTGACGAGATCGAAAGCTCAATAGAAGATGTAAATTGGGATCAATTATTAAAAGACGCAAAGTCTTTTCCGTTAGAGCGTTTGTAAGACACTGAATTTATTTATTAAAAACATTTCTTAAGAACTAGTTGTGATAATATGACTTAACCTAAATTATAATTAAGTGTAAATAAGAGAGAGAGAGAGAGAGAGAGATAGATACCAACCGTACACATGCATATGCACCATGCCACCATTAATCTTAGGGGGAGGTCATACACACGCATAGCTATCTCACATGTGACAAGCAAACATGTTGCACTTGCTTATCAGTCTGAGTAAAGATTACATCCCATAATCTAACTCCACCATAACACATGCAGCAATTGAAAATTCTGTATTATTTATTTCTAACTCGAAGGTCTGCTCACCACATTTTCTTATCTTATTTCATGTGGACTGTATTAAGAAGATCCCAGTCTAACAAATCCCTCTCATCTACACTAGGTAGCCCCGCTATTCTCTTTTATTATAAAAACATGTTCACTTATCCGTGAACATTCTTGGCAGGGGCAAAAATATATATAAAATATAAAAATTACAAATATGAACAATAAAATAGATCTAATAGAAGTGACATTTTGAGAGAAAAGAAGTTAAGTTATAGCACCCAAGTAACTCCTCCATCTTTCCAGCCTGTCTCTCTTGAACATCCCACCTCCTTTATCTGCCGGCTTCAATTTCCAGGCTGAATCCATTTTATGTGTTGTTTTCTTTCTGCGACCAAAGTTCTCATCCTTCTCTGGTAGCGCCATCTTACCGACTTTGGACAGTTTATCGTTCCTGTGTTCAAAATTTTCTGTCACTCCGGCTTGTATTTTATTCGCTGCACCACTTCCACTAGACATCTTCATCACAACTTGACCGTCTTCCAGCATCTTATTACTCCAGCGACGCATATTGCTTTTCTTCTTAGTTTTAAACTCGCTGGCAAACAGCTTATCTTCGACTTCTTCCAATCTCCCTGTGTCCAGTTTTCCAGGGAGCTGTTCATCTAACTTTTCCAAAGTTGGTTCTCTTTCGGCAATTGGGTCTTCCATATTAACTTCTTCAACCATCATATCTTCGTTGATATTGACCACTAGTTTTGCAGCCAATTCATCAGCCTCGATTTTGGATGCTTTCTGCGATATGAGCAACTCTTCCTTAAGTTGCAATACTTCAGCCTCCAGCAGAAATATCCTTCTTTCTTTTTCTTCACCAGCTTCTAGATTTGCAGCCAACCCGTCACGTTCGGTTGCAGCTGCAAGTCGTCCTCTGTTTGCACAAGACAACTCATCACTAAGTTGTCTTATTACCGCCTTCAACGCCTTGCCCTCGCGTTCTGCCTCCTGTTTAGCCGCTCGTAATTTGTCCTTGGTATTCTCGGTAACACACACAGCATTTTCGACTTCCTCCTTCAATTTGGAGACAAGTTTGAAGGCATCTTCTTTTTCATCTTTCTGTGAAATCAAAGCAAACTCCATTTCCTTAATATCACCTTCCATTTTTCTCATTGCGGCTACCGCTGCTTCGCGCCCCTCTCGCTCGACGTCCAATTTGGATGTTATGCAGGCCACTTGTTTCTTCAAGCCAAGGACTTTCTCTTTGGCCTCCACATTAAGAGCCTGCGTGACTTTAAAGATGATCTTAACATCTTCCAAATACAGCTTCGCTGTCCCATTCGGCTGACTTGCTCTGATAGCAGCGGCTAGTTTCGACTTCTTTAGAAGCATCTCTAAAAACCGCCTTTGAACGTCTGGATACAATATTATGTCTCTTGCCGCGTCCATAATTTTTTCTTTGGCGAAGTCAAATACGCCTTCTATGGCTTCTTCCGTCTTTAAGGTACTCATTATTTCCATAATTGTACCCATCATTTCGAGAAGAGTGGCAGCCTCTTCCTTTATTTTCATCATTGCCGGCCGTTTCACCGATTCGTCCTCCTGGGCATATGCATCACCCCTTCTTTCTGAAGATTTCAAATATGAAGCCCCCTCGGTGTGCACCGCCACCACAGTCTTCTGTGCTGAAGTCTCCTTCTGACTCAGCATCCTTTTATTTGGCTTATAAATTTCTTCTGTATGGGAACAATTCCAGCAGTAGTTTTAGCTCGGTAATTTTCCACTCTTGAAGACCAATTTTAGCCTGATAGAATTTCCTCGATGTTAAGGCAAATTCTTCAACATTTATTCTACCGATCCGGCTCGGTGGACCAATGTAAATTGGGATCAATTATTAAAAGACGCAAAGTCTTTTCCGTTTGAGCGTTTGTAAGACACTGAATTTATTTATTAAAAACATTTCTTAAGAACTAGTTGTGATAATATGACTTAACCTAAATTATAATTAAGTGTAAATAAGAGAGAGAGAGAGAGAGAGAGATAGATACCAACCGTACACATGCATATGCACCATGCCACCATTAATCTTAGGGGGAGGTCATACACACGCATAGCTATCTCACATGTGACAAGCAAACATGTTGCACTTGCTTATCAGTCTGAGTAAAGATTACATCCCATAATCTAACTCC